ATCTCGCACCTGAGGAGCAGAGGTCTCTGCAGGTTAATCTGTCTCCTCTTCTGTCCCTTTTTTTGTGCATGGATCTATGGCATCACCTGATATGAGGCCAAGGCCTAAATTTGACCCCCATTTCTGAAAGACATTATAAATATATATCTATCTCTCTTTGGCTTAGATCCTGTGGCAACATCCACAATGTGACTGAGAGGACAGAAGCTCTCTTTGCCCTCCATCTGGCAGGCTGCTATAACCTCTCTATGGATTAAAGCCATTAACTGACCCTCTTAGGACTTTGGTCAAAGGAGAGTCACTGAAGGCTTTTTAGCAGGAAAAAAATGACATGAGCTTCAGCACTAAACAATATAGTTATTTCCTTTGCTTCATTGCTACCTCTACCAAAACTCTAGGGTGCTGTCTATGGAGGGTAGCTTTAAACTTTTCAAAGCACTGTCCTGTTAGCCATTCCATGCTCCTGTAGTAAGCAAGACAGACATCTCAGCTGGTAGGGGAATGGATAGGGATAAAGGGAGAAAGAGGCCAGTATAAAGTCTAGGCTTATTCCGTGGGAACAGAACCAAATCTGGTATGTAGAACATGACCTACTGAGGTCAGACTGCTGAAGAAAAAAGAGATACAGGAATCAGGGAAAATACCTTGGTGAGAAAACAGCTACATACGTACCCCTGGCGGGGAGGTCCACAGAAATGTATTGAGGCATCATTTTGGACATTATACCAGTAATAGCCACATGGATGGTAAAGCAGTCTTAGAGATGGGGTAGGACAGTAGTTGGCTAAGCTTACTAATTCCTGGTTCTCAAGTGCTGAAAGATGAATCCTAGAGTGGGAAAGCCTATTGCTGCCTTCCATTCACCTTCGGAGACCTGGGATCTGCTATTCTAAGGCTCTTCACTTAGAGCAAGGTCCATGAGAACAGGTGTTACTCCATGCCACTCCTTCAGTGGCTCTACCCTCTCACCATAGATAAGAAAGCGAATCATATAGGGGATTCTGGACTGTAAATATCCCCTCTGTAATCTGATACAAGTGATATGGCAGCATTGCTTCTGTGATCAAGTACCTCTTGGTCAGGCATTCAAGATTTTCCCTAATATATCTCCTATTTTGATCCACTTCATTTCTTTTTGAGAGAGCAAATAAGATAACACACATGAGAAAGCATTTAAAAATTGTAAAGGGACATGTAAATGTCAAAGTAGTGGCTGTTATCGATGCATTAGCCTAATTTAGGCCCCTTAAAACAACAACAACAACAACAACAACAACCCTTCTTTCTTTCTTGCTCTGAAATCTCTTGCAGAATTCTTTGCTGACTGCCTATATCAGTTGTCAGTGGTTTCCAAATAGGCTGTGGACACTCCAGGAGATGTGTAAGATGATCTAGGGAGGTAAAACAAGAAATCTCTAGAATTTCTATTTAAATAGTTTTTTAAAATGTTTAAATTTCTATTTTGTAGCTATTTTATAAGGTATCATATACTGACAAGAGTTTAACATGTATACAGTTTAATAAGCCCACAAATATCGAAAAGCAGACTCAGGGGACTATGATCAAAATATTTGGAGATTATTGGTCTAATCTAATCATCCTACATTTTACTTGATTTTTTCCCCCTGGATATTTAGAAATAACTTTATTGAGGTATAATTTTCATAATATCAAATCCACCCATTTAAAATGTATAATTTAGTGATTTTTAGTAAATGCTCAGAACGTCTACATTTTATTTTACTAGTGTTTTACATATATTTGGCTGGGCCAAAGACTGCTGCTATACCAACTAGTCTTCGGGGGTTGAAACTTTCAAATAAAAGCTTTGGAAGATAGCAACTTTATAAAACAAATTAGGGGCAAAAAAAAAAAATGAATTGCAGAGGAAAGCAAGACATCCCAATGGCACCACCTTCCCTAAAGGCAGGAAAATATAAAATTTTATAGTGAGAAACTTCAAACAGAAAAATGTAAAGAAAAGTAACTCCTTTCAGACCTAATGCCTGAGTTGTCATTTGCCTAAAGTTCAACTCTAATCAACTCAAGGCTTGGGTCCAAGTAATAACTTTTGCAAAGTTCCTTTCTTCTCTGATAGATTAACAACTACTCCTTATAAATGCATGCTGGCAGAATGTAAAGGGAAGTATTGTTAAGAGACAGTTGATGGCTGGAGTTTATACATGACAACCAGAATTGAAACCTTTTTCTGTCACAGTTGTGAGTTTTCTGTCATTTGTTGCACTACAAAAATCTTGATTTATATATGCCATAAATTTTTAGTCTCCATTTTGTTGATTATTTAGGTTGTTTCCAATTTTTATTATTGTAATAAGGTTGTAATGAGCATCCTTATATATAACTCTTTGTATGCACCTCTCAATATGTCCTTGGGATAAAATGAAAGAAATGTAATTTCTGAGTCAAAGGTGAAGTGAAGGGAACATGTATAGATCTCTCTCTTAAGAACCCTGTCATGAAGAGTAGATGGAAAGTGCATTAATTCACAAGAAGTACAGCATTAAGGGGATGTTTTTAAAAAGGAGAGAGGTGCTCCGTGACTGCCACTTAGCAGATCAGACTTATTTGTTCATGTTCCTCTCTGCTTCTTTTGCAATCATGTCTGACAAACTTGATATGGCTGAGATTGAGAAATCTGATAAGTCAAAACTGAAGAGAAGAAATGAAAGAGAAAAATTCACTGCCTTCAAAAAAAAAACAAAACAAAACAATTGAACAGGAGAAGCAGGAAGGTGAATCGTAATGAGGCATGTACCACCAATATGCACTGTATATTCCATAAGCATTGCCTTTCACTTCTTTTAGCTGTTTAACTTTGTAAGATGCAAAGAGGTTGGGTTAAGTTTAAATGACTGTGCTGCCCCTTTCACATCAAAGAACTAGTGACAACAAGGCTGTCTGGCTGGCAGGGGAGGAAAAGAACTTGCATGTTAGTGAAAGCAGAAGCTAGGTGGGATGACAGTGAAATCCAGAGTAAAAACGACACTGGTCCAAGGTTACTGCAGGCTGTAAAATGCAGCTTAGAGTGCCGTTTTTTTTTTTTTGTTCAAATGATTTTAATTATTGGGATGCACAATTTTTTAAATATGCAAATAATAAGTTTTAAAACTTAAAAAAAAATGGAGAGAGAGAATTGTGCATTTTATAGGCTGAAAGGAAAGACTAATAAATATAACTCATATCAAGAGCCCCAATCTTCCTAAAAAGCTCAGGTGCGTTTATACCTATTTCCATAACCTGTGAGTTCCCCCAAACGTCCACTTCATTTATTTCCTTTTACAGCTGGAAAGGCCTGGTTAGAAGAGAATGACTGAGTTATACAGGGCATTATGTAGGCACCAAGGGGGCCAGCTGACTGGGAATATAACAGAATACATATATTGTCAAGACTCCAATTTCATCTTATTAACAAACTCTTCTCCTTAGAAACCATATGTATGTAATTCAAAGCCAATATGAAAGTAGAAATCAAGCCTCAAAGAGCAGTCAAGCTTTTAGATTTAAAGAAGGCTGGGAATTACCCTCCCTATCTGATGTAAATGTGAACCATGCAATAAACTTGCTTCAGCAATAGCTAAGCAGCTCCTTTGCTGCTTGTTGTTTCCTCAGATCCAGATCTGTATAGGCCTACAGGGAATGGTAATAAAGTTATTGAGCTAAGAGTTCCTAGAAACTTCCTTTAATTATTAGCAAGGTCCTTCATGGTTTTTACTACAATTTTAATGAAAGAGTATGGAAATCTCTGAGATGGTGACGCACCTGGCTAAGTTTGCTAAGATACAAAGCTGAGCAACACTTTCTGGTTGAAACAGATGGCTATAGTGAGCTAAAACCAAGTTGCTGGCTAGGTTTTGCCCCAGTAGCAAAGAAGACAACTCTGAAGAATTAAGGATCAAGAAAACCAGGGATTGCAGCAGGCAGTAGTTGTATGGCCCTGACTTGACATGCCTCTCTTCTTTCAGAAGAATTCTAGTCTCTAGAGTCCTATCAGCTCAGAAATGATAAAACTCAGTCTGGTCAAGATAGCAGACCTCCTCTCACAACAATACCAAAATTACAATGAACAACCATTACTGGGAGTTGCCTGAGTTCTGGCTGAACAGAAGTCCTACAACTGGAGACATACATGAGAGGTCATCTGGAGACTGGTAGGAGGGACGGAGATGCAAAATGGTCTAGTCCCACAACTGTGTATGGTGGTCAAGAATCGAGAGGGTTACCTTGGCTGCAGAACCCCCGCTATTCCCCAGAGGAGCGAGGGGTCCTGGCTCCACACTGGGCTCCCCAGCCCTGGGTTCCAGTGGCAGGGAGGGAAGTTCCCACACCCTCTGGCTGTGAAAACCAGCAGAGATTGTGGCTGAGTGAGGGTGGCTGGAGTTGCAGAGATTCCTCTTAAGGGGCCCACACACAAACTTATTCCGTGACTGATTCACCCGCTTTGAGC